AGTCCCCTTATGGCTGCCTTTGGATCAAGATGAGACTTCTTAGTTCCTCCAGCACCATGTCTGCCTGTATACTACCATACTCCACTGCCCATGACAGACATGGACTAAAGCTCTGAAACTGTAAGCCAGCCCCAATTAAATGTTATCCTTTATAAGAATTGCATTGCTCATATTGTCTCTTCACAGCAATGAAAATTCTAACTAAGACCTTAACTTTACTGTAATTTTCAAAATCATTGATGGTGGTATTATTTCCTGAAAACTATCAGAACAGCAAATGGAAAAGCAACTTCAAATTTTCTATACCAAAGACTTCTGAACTTACCTCCTGCTCAGAAATACATAGAATAAAAGTGATTAGGAAGCAGTAGCCATTTCCTGCTTTTGAGGGTTGTCACTTTCCAACTCAGAAGAGATATTATATACTCTAGTATTACTGTCAAATCAGAGCATTCTAGTAAATGTCTTGCAACCCACTATTGCATTAAATAATTTCAGAATTAGTAATACACAGGCTTTACATTTAGATAAACAAGTGTATGTTTTCTGATACTGCCATAAAAACAATAGCTTTGTGGCTTTAAAGGAAGGGGGCTATGGGTAGATGGGGAGAATTTATACAACATACACATGGAGAACCTGAATTCAATCCTTAGCATCAAAGAAAAAAATAAGGAGAAAGAGAAAAAGGAGTAGAAATTTAAAAATATATGTATATTTCTAGCATAGTTGGAAAGTTTGTGAACTTGAAACAAAGTTGTCATCAGGGGAGGACTCTTGTTCAAGACTCTACAGAAGGCGCAGCAATTTATCTCTTCCAGGTACTAGCTTCAATCAACATTATTCCAATGTGCCTTCATCTTTAAGGTGATTTCTCCTCTTTTAAAAATTAAATGGAAATATTATTAGGTAAAATCATAAAAATATTTTTTTGACTTTTTCATTTTAATTTTAATGTTTTTCTCAATTTATTCATTATATATCCCGACTGAATCCCACTCCATCAACTCCTCCCAGCCCCACCCTCTCTCCCAAGTCTCATCCCCTTTCCCTAGTCCACGGAAGGGGGGAGTTCTTCTCCTCTGTCACCTGCCCATAGCTTATCAGGTCTCATCAACACTGCCTGGATCCTCTTCCTCTGTGACCTGATAAGACCACATCTCCAGGGGAAAGTGCTAAAAGAGCATGACAAAGACAGCCCCTGCTCCCCTTACTCAGAAAACCACATGCTGACTGAGCTGCCAATCTACTACATCTGAGCAGGGGGTCTAGGTCCTCTCCATGCATGCATGGTCCTTGGTTGGTGCATCAGTCTCTGCAGGACCCTGTAGGCTCAGATTTTTTAGCTTTGTTGGTCTCCTTATGGGTTTTTGTTCCCTCCATGTCCTTCTATCTCCCCCCCCCCTTCTTCCATAAGACTCCCTGAACTCTGCCCAAAGTTTGGCTGTGAGTCTCAGCATCTGCTTCTATCTCCTTTCGGGTAGAGCTGTATCCTCTATAGAAGGCTCACATACTGTTTCCTCTCTTCCACTGCTTCTGGTGTCTATCATTGGGTGGGATTGGGAGGGAATAACGAAGGGGCTACAGCTGGGATACAAAGTGAATAAACCATAATTATTATAAAAATAAAAATTAAATTAAAAAAAACAAATAAAGCTGCTACGAACATAGTTGAGCAAATGTCTTTATTGAATGGTGGGGCATCTTTTGAGTATATACCCAGAAGTGGTATCGCCTAAGATCCTCCTTAGTGTTTAGCTTCTTTAGGTCTATAGATTTTAGTACAGCTATCCTATATTATATAGCTAATATCCACTTATAAGTGAGTGTATACCATGCCTGTCTTTCTATTTCTGGTTTACCTCACTCAGGATTATCTTTTCTAGTTCCATCCATTGGCCTGCAAATTTTATGGGGTATAGAGCTAAACAGAGAATTCTCAATAAAGGAATATTAAATGTCAGAGAAACAAAGAAATGCTCAACATCCTTAGTTACCAGGGAAAAGCAAATCAAAACAACTCAGATATTCCAACTTACACACATAAGAATGGCTAAGATCAAAAACTGAAGTGACAGCACATGCTGGAGAGCATGTGGACAAAGGGGAACCCTCCTCCATTGCTGGTGGGAGTGTAAACTTGTACAACCACTTTGGAAATCAATCTGAAGCTTTGTCAAAAAATTGGTAATAGGACTACCTTAAGATCCAGCTATACCACTCTTGGGTATACACCCAAAAGATTCCCCAACATTCAATAAGGACATTTGTTCAACGATGTTCGTAGGAGCTTTATTTGTTTTTTTTTTTTAATTAAATTTTTATTTTTATAATAATTACAGTTTATTCACTATGTATCTCAGCTGTAGCCTTAATCCCTCCCAATCCCACCCTCCTTTCCTCATCTCCTCTTTGCCCCTCTCTAAGTGCACTGATGGGGCAGATCTTCCTCCCCTTCCATTTGACCATAGTTTATCAGTTCTCTCCTGGATTTGTTGCAATGTGGCCTAGCTAGGCTGCTCCTCCCAGGGAAGGGGGAGAAGTCAAAGAGCTAGCCACTGAGTTCATGCCAGAGAAAATCCCTGTTCCCCTTACTAAGAAATCTTCAACATCCTTAGCCATCAGGAAAATGCAAATCAAAACAACCCTGAAATTTCACCTTACACACATCAGAATGGCTAAGATAAAAAACTCAAGTGACAACACATGCTGGAGAGGCTGTGGAGAAAGGGGAACCCTCCTCCATTGCTGGTGGGAACGTAAACTTGTACAACCATTTTGGAAATCAATCTGGCACTTTCTCAGACAATTAGGAACAGTGCTTCCTCAATATCCAGCTATACCACTCCTAGACATATATCCAAAATATGCTCAAGTACACAACAAGGAGATTTGCTCATGTTTGTAACAGCTTTATTCCTAATAGCCCAAACCTGGAAGCAGCTTTATTTGTAATAGCCAGAATCTGGAAACAACCTAGATGTCCCTCAATGGAAGAATGGATGCAGAAATTGTGGCACATTATCACAATATAACACTACTCTGCTATTAAAAACAAGGAAATCATGACAATCATAAAAATATTAATTATGAAGGCGTTTAAAAATTCTAATGAAGATGAATAATTTTCTTGAAAGTGTAAATATGTACCATACTCATCAAATACATCCCTCAGATACTGCAATATTGATGTTGTATTAAGGGTAGAATGTCATATCCACATGACATATAAAGCGTGTAGTTAATACATTCCAAATATTGAACTTGATCTCTTACTCAGGTTAAATGACATAAAGCACTGAGTTGGTGTCAGCTCAACACCTGCCCTTAACTGGCATTTTGTACAATGCTGACCACACTGAGCTACTCACTGGTAATGATAATGTATGAAAATAAGTCCTAGCAGAATATTCTTACAACTATAGGAACAACTATGATTATAGCTATTTCTTTGATTTAAGAAGATATTATATAGAACACAAGCACAGAGTGAATAGTTTCGAAACAAAGTACAAAAAATAGAAACTTCCTTCACAAACATGCTAATTCTTTCTAAATTTAATGAGCATTAATCCCCTAAGTATGGAGCTGTAAGATGAGAGCATATTATCTATTACGTACCCTCTATCAGCTATCTATTCCTGTTTACCTATAGTTATTATGTATGTATCAGTTCTCTGTGTATATGTCTGTATTTCCTAACTGTGATTTTAGTACGGATTTTTTCACTTTTTTTTACCAACTATGAGAAAAGAAAGTTACTGTTTTAATCCTCTCAGAAATTATGCTCTGGTGATTTCTGGCTCATTTCTATTTAATATTAAGTTGTGATTCTATCAAAAAGTTTACTTTTCATTTATATGGAAAATTCTCTTCCTTTTCATTAATTGTTTTGACTTTTTCTACTAAATTTCTACCATGATCTTTATCATAAACTTAAACAACACATGTAAAACGTGGAAATAAATTTCTTTTTATATAATATTGCATTGATGTGAATAATACATTGATTTTAATTAAATTGTTTAATAGCTATTTGACAGTTTGAAAACTAAAGATACACATGCATAAAGTTTTCTATTTTAATTTGAAGCAATGTTCTGCATTATTGATACTGTTATTGTGAGACAGTATTAGTAGTATTTTATGATAGAAATTAAATAAAATGTACTTTAAAACTAGTGTAATGACAACGTATGAAATTTTTATGTTCGTGAGAAACTGATAAATAACCCGAAACATTCATTGTCCTTTAATATTTTCAAATTTCAATATTTTAACCATATATATATAGATATGTACATCCAAGTACATATCCATATATGTGGATGCATTTGATCATTTTTTTCCTGTGATTACCCCACTTATCAAATAAATTTAAGCAACCTCTTAATTATCTGAGTAAGACTGTAGAGAAGGATGTTGTCTACATTCAGAAAAAAACCTTGTTGACAGACTCTAAAAATGGAAGAACAAAATTTATAGACAAACATTAGGAATATGAAACACAAATGTTTTATAATCCATCTACCATTATGAATAGCAATGTTCTTTTACTTTAATTTTATTGTCAAATATTCATTTAAGATAGTCATGTCTAACTCAGTCCATCTCCCATCTCCTCCTCTGTAGTTCTCCTATCTTCCTCTACATTTCCCTCTGAACTCCATGGACTCTCCCTCTCTAGTTTTTTTATTTAATATTCACTGAAAACATTTAGTGCTTCTTACAGGTGCATGGGTATGGAGCCATGTATTGAAGCCTGAGCAGCCTCTCAAGGATCATATCCCTAGAAAGAAGTTACTTTCTCTCTTCAGTTGTCCTCATCTGCCAGCAGCTCCTCCTTGAGTCATGGAGATTTTGGATACTTGCTTTTGCGCATATCTTCTGCTTTCATTTCAAAGATCCACAGACACACGAGGATCAGCTTTTTAAAACAAATGACAAAAAGTCATTGAAATAAATCACCTTGTTTCTTGGTTTTCTTTTTTTGTCTCCAGGATTGACATCTTTAAGTATGTGATCTATGGCATTGCAGCAGCTTTCTTTGTCTATGGCATTTTACTGATGGTGGAAGGTTTTTTCACAACTGGGGCCATCAAAGATCTCTACGGGGACTTCAAAATCACCACCTGTGGAAGATGTGTGAGCGCATGGGTATGTCATTTCTCTGCACTCAGCATGTAATGTGGGTTGATTTCAGTGTCACACAGATGTTTTTACTCACATGAAGAGAGTCAAATAATTCTTCAATGGAGAATAAAGAATCATTAATTCTTCAATGTTAATTTCTAACATTTTCTTCCATGATGGAAATCTCACATCATAATAAGATTTCTAAATTAAATTTGTTATGAAATATTGGTTTTAATTTCTCAAATCATATGCAATATGTATTGATTTATTGTTATTTATTTTAAAGAACTTAGGGTATCATACAAAATAATATAAAAACCTTCTCCTAATCTATAGGCAAAATGCATATGTATGTAAATTTCTGTCTCTCCTTTTAAACTTATCTCCATGTTTAGCTATATATTTGAGAATAACTATGTCAGAAAAATTCTGCTTTATAAATTTATCAGTGTTGGTCTTCAATCTTTATTGATGAGATGTTTGGTGGTAAATCAAATTTATATTCATAATATAAAACTAATGCATTTCAAAGCATATATCTGCTAATTATGAGAGTAGTAAAAACCAAAAGTCATACAGTTGAAAATGCTGTTGCATGTTTTATGTAGAATAGTTTTCCCACAATGAATCATTAAGCACCCATCCTTTCCTGGCCTTTCCTTCTATTTTGTCATGTCACACAAGAACATATATTTACATCAAATAAGTCATAAAATTTAAACAATCTGTAATAAGGACTAATAAATTAGTTTGACTTACAGAAAAATCAAACCTATTTGTTAGCAGCAAATCTTTATATTGAGCAGCTTGTAATGGATTCTAAGATGCAGCTTGGTTGAGGTGTGGACATCTCTTACTTTCTGCAATTCCTTATGGGTGATACAGATGCATGTAAGGAAAACTTGAGTTTCAATAATGTAACTTAACAGCTCTAAAAAGAGAATTTCACCTAAATTGTTTGGATTGGTAATACCAAATTTTAGATCCAGAGAAAATAATATGCATAAAGATCTTGGGTTGATGTTAAAAGCCTCTACATTCAGTTATCCATGACACTTAAACAAAAAGGCAAGTTTCTGGCCTAAATTTGACTTCTAGTTTACAAATTGTGTATAATACATTTAGAGAATGAAAGGCTTACTTATTGTTCAGACAACTCCTGACAGTGCATCAGTGAGCCTTAGAAAGTAACTTTAGGTTTTTGAATCATGGTTGACATATTTGACAAAAATCAAGATCATCTTTTTAAAATTCTGAGTCTGATGTTACAGAAGTGTAAGAAAGAGAGACAGGGTCTGTAAACAGATCTCTAATGGCACAGAATGTCCCACCAGCAGGACAGTTTCAGGCAATTGTGATATTTCATTCAGAACTGGGAAGTCAGCACATAGTAATAATAATCATGGAAGAATTTGCACATCTATGTACAGATAATTATCTGCCTGTCAGTTAAGCATCTTAAAAGGAATCTCAAATACCTATTTTTAAAGTGAATCATCAGCCACACTGTTTTTCTACAATAGTAGCGATTGTGTCAGCACTCACACGTAACACAGCAGAAGGCTGGCAGCAGCTGCGTGGGCCCCTCAGTGGCAGCAGGTAGTCATCCCACGAAGCTGTGCCTGCCCACTCTTACAACACCTGCTCTGACATCCAGTGTTGATCAAAGTGGAGCAGAAGCAGAAACTGTAGTCTTCAGCACTCTGTAGCATGAGGCCCATGAGCACCAATGAAGAGAACAAACTCCAAGGACCAGGAAGTAAATGGGTGGCAACATGCAGCCTGTAGCCCTGTTTTCTGCCCACTGTTGGGTGCAATGAATCAGAGGAGAAAAGAATTCATGTCCCCCCCTTGTCTGGCATTTATGTCCCCTCTACTATATTCATTCAGTTTCTTTCTTTCTTTCTTCTTTCTTTCTTTCTTTCTTTCTTTCTTTCTTTCTTTCTTTCTTTCTTTCTTTCTTTCTTTCTTTCTTTCT